AAGAGTGTGGCAGAAGAGAAGACAGCGAAATTGGTGCGAGTGTGTGAGGAGATTAGTGCGTTTGGGTGTATTGTTAGAAGGGGAAACTGAGGAGATTAAAAGGGGTTTTTTGAGAAATGGAGATGAAGATAATGGTGGTGGTGGGCGGTAGTGGAGGATGTGGTGGAGCAGATGAGACGCTGCGGCCGGTGCTACTGCCGTCATTTTTGTTGGTTCTTTTTGGCTCTTTCCAGCTCAAAAAGAGAAAAAATAATAAAAACTACCCATTACCCAAAGCCGAAAAGATTTTATTCTCAGATTTTCATTCTTAAGCTTTAAGTTATGTTAATTGTTTAAAGTTAGTCAACGCGAGAGGGTTTGGTCATGTGGTATGATTCTCGCTGAGTTTCTCGCATTAGCTTCTGTTTATATACCCTCTAAATTTGTGGTGGTTTCGTAAATTGTTTTTAAAATTTTAATTTTGATAAGTTATTCTCTTAATTTATAAAGTTGTTATAATATATTCCATTTTGATGAATTTTGAATAGGGTTTATAGCACATTTGTTTCCTAAATTTATTATTGTTTAGCAAATTACTCATAAATTTTTAATTTTAATAAATTATTTTATCAACTTATAAAATTATTACAATATATCCTATTTTAATAAAAATTGTATTAAATTAGTATAAAAAAATTATGTTCAATTAAAAATTTTAACATTTTAATTTAAATATAATATCAATATTTTAAAATAATTTGTACAGATGATCTTCAACCTCTTTAGTGGGTGATCGTTTGTCTCTAAAACCTTTTTTTAGTAATTTGACCCTTAACCACTTTAAACGGATATAATTTAGTCTTTTCCGTCAAATTTTTAATAGATTTTTACATGTGATCATCGCGTACCTTCTTTTTTCAATTAAAACAATAATACCATCCAAACCTCACACTCATGGCCTTCTTCTTCCTCCTCTCTACCTCCAGCGAGCTCCATCCCTCAGAATCATCAACAACGAGTTTCAACAACAGAGAAGAAAAGAAAAGAAAAAAAAAAACAGGAACTTCATTACTGAAGTTTAACCTATTTTTCCAGGCTGCAGAGTTGCTTGGTCATCCGCATCTTCAACCTCATATCTTATAGATTCATATGAAATTAAACAGCCCTAGAAGGAACACTTTTCTACGTCTGATTCCAACTACATTAAGAAGACCAGATCTATGGAGCCTGAAGTTGTTCCATTTTGTACTGTCAGGGAGAAAAGGCGGAAACCCATTTCTTTTTGTTTAAAAAAAACAAAAAACACACGGAGAGAGCAGCAGTGTGATTCATCCATGGCGGCGAAGAAGAAGGCGTGCGAGTCGTTGTCGAAGAGCTTGATCGAGGAAGTCTAGAAATGGGGATGTATGAAGCAAAAAGGGGTGAGTTTGAGGTACATGATGGAGTTCAGCTCCAAATCCACTCCTCACAATCTTCTCTTCTCCGCTCAATTCTTTCATAAGGAACTTCAGATTCGAATTGCCCGCAGCGGCTGATTTGAAAAAAAAGAAAAAAAGAAAAGGGGGAAAAATGCAAATATGGGATGAACTTCTGTTTCGGCTTTCGATTTTTTTTTTTTTTTTTTCCTGCAGATCACAAACCCGGGAAGAGGGAGTAAGAGATATTTTTAGTTTTCAATTTATTTAAAAGAGAACTCGTGATTTTACGAAAATAATCCTTGTAAAAGGGTCACGTGACAAGTCTGGTTAAAAATGTAACATAATTTAATAGAAAATACTAAATTGCTTCTGATTAAAGATGTTAGGGACCATTTTGTTAAAAAAAAAAAAATTATAAATTAAACTGTCACTTATTAAAAATGTTAAAAATTATTGTGTAAATTATCTAATATTTTAATTTCTCAACTTTTAATCTATTAAATATAATAAAAAATTTAAATAAATTTAGTTAAATGGAACATATTGTAATAAATTTATAAATTTAAAAGGTAACTTACTAAAATTAAATATTTAGAAGGTAATTTATTAAATCACGATAAGTTTAGAAATAATTATGCTAAAAACCCTTTCAAATACAAGTTGTAGCTCTTTTTTTTTTGGGGTGGGGGAAGCCTTATATTCGTTATTGATAATTTTTTTTTTTTAAACCATTCGATCGAATGTTAATGGTCCTAGATTGCATTTTCATACAAACGAAAATAAACACAACCACATTCAATAAAAATCTTTTCCATTAATAAATAGTCTCTCTCAAATAATAATAATAATAAATAACCCTAAAAAATGGCAATCAGTTTTTATATTTCTTTTCCTTTCCTTTTGTTTTTTGAAGTCCTTATTACTATCATTATTTTGAAAATCTATTTTATTATGTTTATGAGAAGCATTCCATATCCTATTCGAAATCGACAAAACCTAAGGCTTGTATTATATAAGACAAGCGAGTTGTCAAAATTATGAATACATCACCAAAGTTGTCAAATGGGACGGGCCGTTCAACCCATAATAGTGTCGGATTCGACACGGCCCGATACGGTACTATTACGGGCTGTGTCAGCCCGGCACGTTTGATGGGCTAGGGTTGGGCCGCGGCCCAAGATCGGCACTAGCCCGTGAAGGCCCACGGCCCGGACCAAGCCCAATTCGGCCCTTGTTCGGCCCAGCTCAGGCCCGTGAAACGACCTACCAAAAAGCCCTCCAGCCCGTGAGGAATGTGACCGTTGGGCCCTTAGCCCTTATGGACTAAGGTCACGGGCCTGGGCCGGGCCTGAGCGTTTCTTCTGGGGCCTGGCGATGGCACGGTCCTGCACTGTGCAAGGCCGTGCCAGCCACGGCCCAGGCCCGTCACGGGCTTGGGGTCGGACGTGCAGTGCCGGCCTGGCACGACACGTTTGACAACTCTAGCCATCTCTACAGCTTATTGCTCTTTCTCCTGTTTCGTTAACGAAACCCGTTTCAGTTTACTCACCTTTTTTTCAACTTTAACAAACAAAACAGCTTACTTTCCATAACCGACCAAATTTTCCAAACTCGACACTTAACGAAGAAAAGAAAGAAATCCTACGAAACAGTTTCTCTCTCTACAAAATGACTCTCTCTCTCTCTAATTCCCTATCATGGCTACGACAATGGCGTCGTCGTCCTCATCTAGGGCAAGATCGGGGCAATATTCCAGCGTTTTACAGGACTACTCGCAAGGCCGTGCTAGGCATGGCCCAGGCCCGTCACGAGCCTGGGGTCAGACGTGCAGTGTCGGCCAGGCATGGCATGTTTGACAACTCTAGCCAGCTCTACAGCTTATTGCTCTCTCTCCTGTTTCGCTAACGAAACCCGTTTCAGTTCACTCACCTTTTCTTCAACTTCAACAACCAAAACAGCTTACTTTCCATAACCGACCAAATTTTCCAAACTCGACACTTCACAAAGAAAATAAAGAAATCCTAAGAAACAGTTTCTCTCTCTAAGAAACAACTATCTCTCTCTCTCTAATTCCCTATCATGGCTATGACAATGGTGTCGTCGTCCTCGTCTAGGGCAAGATCGGGGCAATATTCCAGCATTTTACAAGACTACTAGCTGTTAGAGAGATTGTAATATGTCTTGATCAAGATCACAGGTTGTTTGAGTATTAAAATATGAAAACTCGTGTTAAAGGGACTTCAAAACGTTGCAGCGGACAAACGGCTTTGATTTGGCCAAACCGGCTGCAGCCGAAATATTTTGGCTGCAGTCGAAATGTTTGCAGGTCTTGGATCCGTTTACGGCTGCAACGGGGAAACATCCGCTGCAGTGGAAATTCTGCAGAAAATAATGTTTTCATTAGTTTATGTGATCTAAAACATTTCAAATCATTACATCCATTGGTTATATGTTTTCATACATATCTGAACACCAATTAGCAATAGATATAACTATTATAATATGTGTATTAATCCATGAAAAGATATCTTAACATTAAAAATGTACCTTTATATAAATGGTTGTAATGTTTAAAGATGATGTATTCATTCATAAAATGATATCTTTATCTTTATTAATTCTCTAAAAAATTTAGAGACTTATATGAATATTCTGAAACTCAATATTATTATTAGATATTAGATTTAAAGGTTTGTTGTATCTTGAGAATAATTTATCATTAAAATTCATTAACAAACTGTGAGAAGTAAGAGTAAATAAAACTTTAAAAGAAAATATTTTTATATGCCTCAAACTCTCTTGTTTTTTGCATTCTTTTCAACATCTACATTCAAATTCTCCAACACTCGCAGCTCATCGCAGTCGTTTTCTGCAGGATTCACGTCGTCGAGGGCCTTCCTCTCCTACTCCTCCTCTCCCATTAGAGTCAGCATGTACGGAAACTCCATCTCTCCCCGGCGACGTTCGATGTCGGTGACGAAGCAGATCAACGGCAACGGTAACTGTAACAGCGTGGTTTCCAAGCCGAAGAAAACATGCATGTGTGCCCCTACGACGCACCCTGGCTCGTTCCGGTGTTATCTCCACAAGAACTCTCCACGTGGCGGCAGGCGGCAGCAAACGTCGTTGTTTGATTCGAATAGCATAAGGTTTTGCTTGACGAGATCGGCGATGGCTAACTCGCCGATCACGATTGGATTAGTTGAAGGCGAGTTGATGAAAAGATCGTTGTTGGTGGCTCTGATCAGACCGTCGTCAAACCAGCTGCAGCGCCGAGACACTTTTCGGCCGAGGCCAAGCTGACTCTCCGTATTTTTTTCGTTTACTGTTTTTGGTTTCTTGAAAACAGAAAAGGAGCTCAATTTTTGTAGAGTAGCATTTTGTTTTTGTTGAAAGATTTTCGAAGCTAGTATTTTTTTGCTTCGTATTATTAAATTCAAAATGTTACTAAAATAGTTATTTTGATTTCAAGTTTCAGTTTTTCTCTTTTTTTCCTTTCTATACTGGAGATAGTCGTAATGACAGATCATGACCATATTATTAAGATTGTTATGACTTTGCCGCATATAGTTTGGTACTGAGAGCAGGAGAGATAATAAATACTTATTTGTGTGATAATGGCTTAGTTTAGTATTGTTTTTCGCTCTCAAACTTAACTTCTGTTTGTATTAAAAGCTGATTTTAATGTTTGGTAAATCTTCTCAAAAATGCTTTTTGAAAATTTTTTGAAGAATCTATAGTTAAAATCAGAAGCAGCTCAAAGGTAACTTTAGCTTTTAAATTGTGTGGGAATCAACAAAATACACTTAATAAAACTTTCATAATACTCATAATACCCTTAATGAAATTTAAAATTTACAATCTTCACAATCCAAAATTCAAACTCATAATATAATATAATATAATATAATATAATATAATATAATATAATAATACAATAATATAAGATAAT